CAGATGTTCTTCTTTGTAGCCTTTATTGCTATTGAAAGTTTGATTCTGGCCTCAATGGCCTATGACCGCCATGCAGCCATGTGAAAACCTCTGCATTACACTATAACTATGACAAGTACCGCCTGCATCTTTTGAACATACCACTGTGTTGTCTGTAAACTTATGTTTTATTTTGAGTTATTTATTTATTGTTACCAGTTATTTATTGTTACCAGTGGGTTTCTATCTCTAGCACCTAATGAGTCTTCTCTGTTTCTAATTGATCTACATTCATGATGACAGTATCCAAAGAAGAATCTTTAAATTTTTGTATATATATATATATGATAAATATATGCACATATATTTACCTTTAAACCCAGGATTTGTGAATGTCTTTATTTGGGAAATTCCTGAATAATTTATTACTATATTGATAAACAATTTCATTGTAGATTTCACCACTTCATTAACTATGTTAATTTTTAGCTATTTTTATTTATTTATTTTTTATTAAAAGGAAATGTGGTTTTGGTATCTTATATGCCTTCTTTATTATTGATGAAAAGAAGAGTTGCAATATTTTGTTGATTTTTATACCATTACATAATCAAGGTAATTTTAAGTTCTAGGATCTTTTCAACAGTGTTTGGAAGTCATTTATGTATATTAAAAGAAGAGGAGTGAAGGGATTAATTGAGGAGAATTTGAGGGAATTAAATAGTCAAGATGGAAGGAGGACAGATATGAGAGCAAGGAAAGAGATATCTTAATTGAGGGAGCCATTATGGAGTTAGGAAGAAACATGGCATCATTGAGTTTTCAATACATTCCCTTGTACTCATAGAGAAGCACTAAGAGAACCAGGAATGTTAGTCACACAGGGATGTCTTGTCAATGGGGAAGTTAAAATCAAATACCTGCTTTATATGCAGAAAGCTGAGGGTAGAGGTTGTTAATGACATGGTTAACTTCTTCCATCTACAGGGTCAGACTTCACCCAAATTCTCCAGAATTGTTATTCCCATTCTTCTCTCAGTAGACCATTACCCATCCATAGGTGAGATATCGCATGCATTTTATGATCCACTGACATCTATGCTATCAGTTGATACCACATTAGATTCTTGGTCTTTTAGCTATAGAACCCACAGTCATGGTAAAATACAGCTTCTGAAAAGTTCCCATGCAGTCACTCTTTAAGCTTTCTTTTACACCTTGAGCTAGAATGATTATGGGAGTTAATATTGCCTGGAGAATTGCCATGGACCGGCTCAGGGGAGCCACTCAGACCATGGGAGAACAAGGGTGAAGGCTGCAGGAGAAATCAGGAATCGGCGCAGGAATGACAGTCAGACACACTCTGAGTGAATATGCTGCTGCAATTTTACTTCAGCCAGGCAAAAGCTTTTATATCATTACAATTTAGAAACTTGGCAAAGGCATACATCAGCAAATAAAACAAAAGGAATCAACGTTTCTATTTAACAAGAACAGCAAATTTATTTGTCCATAGTCTATTCTAAATGTCAGTTGCGATTATTGCTCAAGGACATGTTGAAACTCGTCCCACACCACTGACCTCAACTCTCCTCCCTACCTGATTCTCCATGGTTTCTCCTGATAAGAGCAACTCCTTTATCACCAAGGAATTGTCCTAATGATGACCCCCAATTCCCAGAACTGGGTACTTCCTTAAAGGCTATAATAAATGATGGGGCAGAGCTCAAAAATGTCCTCAGCAGTCTTGTTACTATCAGCAACTTTTTTGGAATAGTCTGATCTGTTGGCAAGATGCAAGAATCACACAGAACAGAAAAACAAAGAAAAGACAGTCATATCAGTGCCAAGGGCAGTGAGTTCGAGTCAGTGCAAATGGCGACTCAGGTGGCATCATGACCACAACTGATTGCCAAGGGACAGCCTGGGGCGACAGCTCCATGGAACATAAACCCCAATCCTACGGCAACAGTCCGTCTGGTCAGCATTTCTGCTACACTGGCGTGACAGCCATGGATGTAGCCGAGAATATTTTCCATATTTCACTTTGTTTTAAATATGCTGGCTATGAACCATCTGCGATTAGACTTCAAATTTTTATCCATGTTGATGGATGAACCTGCAATAGGCTTTCCTTCTATTATCTTCACCCAGTTTGCTTCTCATTTGGACTTCTGTGCATACCAACTCAAATACACATCTTTATTATTTTTACTGAAATCTGTAGATATAAGTAACTTGAGGAACATCTATCCACAATTTGTGGCATTAGTAGGATTTTAAATTATGCTACTTGACCATACAGATCAGTACTCTTACTCCAATTAAGCCCTGTTGTGGCTTAAGTGATAAATATTTCCAAGAGCCTCATATATGGGAACACCTGGTCTCAAGATGGTAATGACATTTAGGGAGGCCTTAGAAATTGTAGGATTTACAGTATTGGTGGAGAACTTGGGAAAGGCTTTGAAAGTTTAAAGTCTCACCCTTTCCCAGTTTATGTTTTATGTTTCCTACATGGGGAAGACATGTAATTAGCCATGTTCCTTATCCTGTCACATGATGCTATCCCCTATTATTGACTTTAACCCCCTGGAACTACAAACCTAAATGAACTCTTTCCTCTATAAGGTGTTTTTGGTCACGGTGAAGATTTATCACAGCAGACAAAAACTAACTAATAAAGCTTAATTTGTGAAAAAAATTACTCAGGCAGGGCAGAGAGATAGGAAATTGCAGTGATGAGAAAAGAACTTGAAAGATATAGGAGAGGCTCTGTCCCATGATCTTTCTGCTTTTGCTGCTCATAAAAGTTGGGGGACATTATATGGCACTGTTAAGGACCAATGGCTCTCAGATTCAGAATGTGTTTTAAATTTTTTTATTTTCTTATTTTTTTGTTTGTTTGTTTATTAAATTATGAAAGTTTCCATTTCCGCCCCTCCTCCCAACACCCTCCCACTCCCCCTCCCCCTCCTCCTCCCTCTCCATCCCTAAGAGCAGTCAGGGCTTCCAGTTTTTTTTTTATTTTTTGAAAGACAATAAATGTGTTTTATTTAGGTAGATGCAAAAAATAATAATACAAAATTAAGATTTTGAAATTTAGCATAAATAGTATTCTAACATTAAAGCTTCTATTTAAAATGCATTGTATTATGTCTTTGAAAAATGTGACTTTATTTTATTGAATTTTCAATACTTTATCTGAGAACATTTAAAACTAACTGTTCTTTTTTTTAAAATTTACTTATTTATTTATTTATAAAATTTCCACTTTCTCCCCTCCTCCCAATATCCTCCCATTCCCCCCACTCCCTCTCCACCTTCCTCTCCAGTTCTAAGAGCAGTCAGGGTTTCCTGCCCTGTGGGAAGTCCAAGTTCCTCCCCCCTCCCTCCAGGTCTAGGAAGGTGAGCTTCCAAACAGAATAGGATCCCAAAAAGCCAGTACATGCAGACGAAACAAGACCCAGTGCCATTGTCAATGACTTCTCAGACAGCCCCATGTCAGCCACATTCAGAGAATCCGGTTTGATCACACGCTTGTTCAGTCCCAGTCCAGCTGGCCTTGGTGTGTTTTCAAAATGTGTTTTTTTATTACCAGAGGGGCAGCAAGTAAATTCATTAGATCTAAATGATACATTCACAGGAAGACTTCAATCAAGGAAATCATAGATAGTAACAATAATGTGCTTACCTAGAGTTAATATGATGTGCAATCCAATAAATCTAGAACCCTACTCTTATGAATGATACTCCTGATAAATACACCTTGCAACTTTGCTTACTGGAACAAAGTTCTTTAACTTATTCTTGTAAAAAAAATAACATTTTAGGAGAGCATAGAAGATAAAAGAAGAAAAGGTGGGTGGGTGTGTGTTAGTGTGCTTGTCTGTTAACATTAAAGTAACCGCTATAGATAAACCTTGGATAAATACACATAGATGTGCACACACACAAATGCAAAAATACACCTTAGTGTTCCTCTCCTTTGAGAAATTCTCACTTGTCTTCTCAGGATATTTAGCACAGAGTTCTTAGAGCGCTTCTCTTTCTAATTTTCATAAATCTAAGTGGGCATCAAATATTCTCTCCTTGAAACATTTTTTCCTAAAAGATACAAGTTTCATTTTCCTTGAGTACAGATCTTGGTGAAAGACCTATCCAGGCAGATTCCAGTGTCTTAAAGGGCTATGGCTCTAAACCCTCTGAAAGTTCTTCTATGGGACTCAAGATAAGAAAAACAATAAACTCACTTAGTTTTTCAAAGAAAGAACTCATTCCTGCAATTTTAAGATCTAGTTGCATTATTTAAATGAATTCAAAGGTGGTTATTGTGGAAAAAACATTAAAGATCTGAAAGCTAAAATACAATGATGCAGAAGATAAGGACTATGCAAATTAGACCTACAAAATGATCTATTCATCATGTATATCCATATCATGTCATTTGACTGTACAACATACATAAATTCATTGATGTAAAAAGATTATAATTAAAAGCAAATTAATCTGTGGTGGTGAAAAATAGATAATTTATTTACAAATATATGTTGAAAGAAAACTTATGTTGACACATACCAAGGTTTTGTGACGAATCTGTATATTAGATGTCAAGAAAATATGATCAAATATATTTGAATTTGAAATCTTTTTAAAAAGAAAACAAACTATTCTTTCTTGGAGGAACTCTGAAAAGTGTTTTAAATAATGAAAAATATGATAGTAATGAGTGCAAATAATAATTCTAGGATGTGTTCAGAAACTTCAGTGATGTTTGTTGTTATTGTATTTTGCCCAAATTGGCTGTAGTCCAGTTGAAGTGATAATTGCAGGCTCTATTCCCTGAACTGCCAATACTGAACACCCTCATACACGCTCAACAAAATGTGTATAGATCTCTAAAGTGTTTGCTTGGATGCCCAATGTGGAATTATAGGCCTCTAGAGATATGAACTGAGAATAAATGATATTCATGAAAGATATATGTAAGATAATCTAAAAGCATGAATTGACATGGAATTGCTCCCCTAGACACTTGCAAAGCTCACCATCCATAACTTGGAATTTTTAAGCTGAAACCCAGATTTTAATTCACAGCAAAGTTTCACAGATTTGGAAGAATAGAAGACTCCACAACAAGATGAATTACTGGGTGTGGACATTGTATAAAGACTGCAAATCTGAAAGTTTTACATATCTGTGTTCCACCATTGCAGCCCTTCTTCCAACACTTGTCAGTTCCTAGGACAATGGTAAGTATTTTCAAAGCATGCATCCTTTAGGATAAACACTCATACCCTCTCCGAGGCTCAGGGATTATTTTAGTGTTAGTGGCAGAAAGTTTGTTAGAGCAGAAAGATGGGTTAAAGTAATAGAAAATTTCATACTCCAGATTCTATATAAAATTATTTAAATTGGTAGCTACCAAGAATTGTAGTTACCTGCACCTGAACCACAAAAGGCTACCAAATCTAAGTCAATGAAGGGGAAGGTTTTTAGAAGACAACAAGCCTTACCTCTGAAATACTAGCTATTGATAGACCCTGGAAAAGGAGGAATGGCACATTTTAGTTCTGTACCCAGTGTTAGACCATAAACTTCAAGAGATTACTGCAAACCCACACATCTACTAAATGTACAATTAATCCCAGTAGGTTATGAAACAAAGTAAATAGAAATGAATGTGAAAAAGAGATTTGTGGCGAGTGGAAATTTAATGGAGTTGTAGAAAGGGGAACTAAGAATAAAGATATTCTTAAAATATATATGCAAGAGCATCAGAAAAGAAGCTTAAATTATAAAAAATACAAATAAATAATTTTCCTTTGCAAGTTAGACTTGTAGTGGAAGTGAGAATATCCAACCATTAAAATTTACTAATGAGGGAAAAAATGAAAAATAATGTCCAGAAATTTTAAGCCCCTGCAGGCAGGCACAAAAATTCTAGTTGTCTTTTGACTCAGGTTCATTTCCTATCCCATTCAATATCTCCACATTATACAAATTTCTAAGGTCAGATAATCTGATGCCTTTTGAAAAGGCTAGGATGAGAGTTATCCTTAATGGAAAGTGAGGCATCATCACCTCCTGCCTTGATTCAGAGAGATCATTCGTGCAGAAAAATAAATAAGACAAAAATTCAATAGTCAATGCTATCTTTAGGGTCCAAAGGCCGTTTCCTACTGCAGTTACATTAGCACAGCCACTAATCACCTTATCCATGAAGGAGGGCAATAGAGCCAGATGTACTTTGAAATATGGTTTGTTTGTGAACAGTAAGAATATAGGGAGTGTAAGGAAAACTTTTCCATTTTATTGTTTTCATTCATTAAACTCAAATGAAGTAAATAAATTGGTGCTATTGGGAAAAGATACACTATTCTATAGAAAAAAGAAAAAAATATGTGAAAGGAAATAAGCAAATCTTTGCTTCTGTCTTTTCGAAAATTCCTCCTTTACTAATTTTCTTTTCATTTGTCTCCTGGGATTAAACCCAGGGCATTGTAGAAGTGGGCAAACTCTCAACAACTGAGTTATGGCCTTAACCCTCAGTTTTTTGTTTTATTTCTTTTTAATATGTTTATTTGAGTGTGTACTAGTGGTGTACAAACACGGCAAAAGATATATGTGAGGTCAAAAAATAATACGCCAGCAAATCAGTTCTTTCTTTCCACCAGAGGCACCAATTCCTTTTACTATATCATACCACTGACACTATGCCTTCATTTTAACATGTATAAATATATCAACACTTAACCCAGAATGTATGGAACAGAGTATACTACTTTCTAAAGGTGATAATATTTAAAGAAAATTATCCAACAAAGTTCCTCATTAATTAGGGAGAAATTAATTAGGTACAAGTATCCCTAGAGGTCACAGATCTTTGGTTATATTAAAATAATGAAGGATATATTGGAGAAGGAAATATATTTTCAAATTATTTATACAATTCCAAATCTTAATGACCTGTTCTTCACAATGCTCTTTGCTGGGTAAGTTTTCAAAGAAAACAAAACAAAACAAAACATTTCTTAACCAAGAATTTTTGTAGATAATACAAATAGTTTTCATATGTATTCTAGTTTAGTTTAGAGCAGACTGTACAGTTAGAAATTCAAGGCAAATGTAATTAAGCCCCACAATTATAATATAGAACACCTGTGGCAGTCACTGCCTTCAAAGAAGTTTGAAGTACCATTTGCACCTCTTCCATATGAACAAAATGCCTGACCTTATCCAGTTATAGGATGTCATTTTGAATATAGATTCTTCTCTGTATATAAATTAAAAATATAAACACAAGAACTTTTTTTGTATTTTTTATCTGACAATGATATGCTAATATAAATTTTCTTTGTACATCTTCTCCTAGATATATCTCATAACAATTCACAGATTTCTTTCATGGAGAATATTTCAGAGGTGAATGAATTTATTCTTGTGGGGTTAACAAATACTCCAGAGCTTCAGGTTCCTTTATTTATCATTTTCACTCTCATTTATTTGATCACACTGACTGGGAACCTTGGCATGATCATATTGATTCTACTGGACTCCAGACTCCACACTCCCATGTACTTCTTCCTCAGTAACCTCTCCCTGGTGGACTTCATTTATTCCACAGCAGTCACTCCCAAAGTAATGGAAGGGTTTCTCACACAAAACAAGGTCATATCCTACAATGCATGTGCTGCTCAGATTTTCTTCTTGATAGCCTTTGCCACTGTTGAAAGCTTCCTCCTGGCTGCAATGGCTTTTGACCGGCATGCAGCAGTGTGTAAGCCTCTACATTACTCAACCTCCATGACAAGTACCACATGTGTCCTAATTGTTACCTGTTGCTACATCAGTGGATTGCTCCAATCATCCATTCATGTTGCTTTCACTTTCCACCTCTCCTTCTGCCATTCCAATGTGATTAATCACTTTTTCTGTGATATTCCCCTAATACTTGCTCTGTCATGTTCTGATACCCACATAAATGTGATTATAGTCTTTATGTTGGCTTCATTTGATGTTGTTTTTGCTCTCTTGGTTATTCTGAACTCTTACCTACTTATTTTCATTGCTATCTTGAGGATGCATTCAACAGAGGGCCGAAAGAAAGCCTTCTCAACCTGTACATCACACCTCACCACTGTTTTTCTGTTCTATGGGACAATCATCTTCATGTACTTACAACCCAACTCCAGTCACTCCATGGACAGAGACAAAATGGCGTCTGTGTTTTACACCATGATCATCCCCATGTTGAACCCTCTGGTCTACAGCCTGAGAAACAAAGAGGTCAAGAGTGCATTCAAAAAGTTTTCTGGAAAAGTACTTTATTTACTGGGCTTAATTAATTAACTACATTTTTGCAAGACTTGAAATCTTTCATTGGGCCTGTACTGTCTAAGAATATTTGACTTGTAATTATTTCTTATCTGTGATTTACATATGAAACTTCACATATGCAATTAATTTTTGCAAATATAATTTAGAGCAACCTGTGATCATCTTGCCAGAAACAATATTTAATTCAGTTTAAAACCAAAATTATATTACTAGGTATGTTCAGCATCACAAATTATTCCACATAGTCAGTAAAAAATGCTTTAAATTATGAATATATTTTATCATGCTACTTTATCTCAAGGATATTTTTTTTCTTATTTACCAGATAAGATTTCTTATGCAGTGCTATTCTTCCTTCTGTTGTTCCTCATCTCCCTTACACCAAAATGGAATGTTTTTACTATCCTGAGCTTTAAATTTATTAAGGATATATACTGATATTTGAAGATTTGGAAATGAGGCCTCCTGTTGGAGGGAGAAGGCTACTTGTTCATCCATGGCACCCAGAACTGAAATAATCACACAGAAACTATATTAATTACAGCACTGCTTGGCCCACTAGCTCTAACTTTTTACTGGCTAACTCATACATCTTAGTTTAACCCATTTCTATTAATCTGTGTATTGCCATGTGGAAGTGACTTACCAGCTAAGGTTTGACAGCATGTCCTTCTCTGGTGGTGGCTCCATAGTTACTCGCTTACTCTGCCCTTCTTTCTTCCAGTATTCAGTTTTGTCTTCCCTGCCTAAGTCCACCCTATCAGGTCAAAACAGTTTCTTTATTCATTAACTAATACAAGCAACCCACAGAGGGAACTCCCACATCAGCCTCCAGTGGTCAATGATGTAACATGAGGGGACTGTTTGTTTGTTGGGGGTTTCTGTCCTGCCCAGTACCCCACAGCTGGCAAGCCCAAAGAAAACCACACAAAGATCTCTATTTGTTATAATGCTAATTGGCTCATTAGGTCAGGTTACTTATTAGCTAAATCTTAGATCTTGATTAACCCATTTTTCTGATCTATTTTAGCCATGTGACTAAGTACCTTTTCAGTGGGGCAGCTAATGTCCTGCTGAATTGTCTGTATTCTGTCAATCATGTTTTGAATAAAACGCTGATTGGCCGGGCAGGAGGTGTAGGCGGGGAAGCCAGCCACGAAGTGGAAATGATGCAAGGAGAGGAGGAAGTTGATTCCTCCCACTCCTGCCCAGATCACCAAAGCAGCAGGATGTGAGCTGGCCCACTGAAAAAGGTACTGAGCCACATGGCTAACATAGATTAGAAAAATGGGTTAATCAAGATGTGAGAGTTAGTCAGTAAGAAGCCTGACCTAATGGGCCAATCAGCAATGTAACTTAAAGAAATCTCAATGTGATTTTTCTTTGGGACTAAACAGCTGGGGGGCAGGGTGGGAAAGAAACCCCCAACAAGTAGGCTCCCCTCATGTTACACAACGATATTTGATATTTGTCTTTCTAGCTTTGGTTAACTTATTAAACATTATCTTTTTTTTTTTGTTAAAACCATTTACATGCAAAACTCAAGTTTTCAAATTTATTTACAGTTGAATAGTTTTCCACAAATTATATCTACAAGATTTCTTTCTATTCATTGGATGGAGTAATTTTAGATCGTACCCATTTCCAAATTATTGTGAAAAGAACATCAATAAACACAGCTGCAAAAGTAACAGTTGAACATGATGCTGATTCCTTTGGTCATATATCAAGGAATAGTATAGTGTCATTGTAAGTATAGTAGAACTTAATTATATCACTTTTTATCATTTTTTGAATTCTTCAGACAGATTTCCATAGTAGCTATCCAAGTTAGTAGAAAAAAAATCACCAACAATAAATTATATTTTCCTTTTCCTTGAACCCCAATTAGCATTTATTTTCCTAACTCTTTGGTACAGGATAGGATATTGTAAAGTACACCAATAACACACAGAAAAGGTCAACAATAAGTGCCATCTCATAAAACTGAACTCCACCATATGTCAGAGTACATCATCATTGAGAAAATAGACAACATACTGAATTAGAAATATATATATATATATATATATATATCCTAATTATATAACTCATAGAGGGAATACAAAATATATATTTCAAAGAACTTTCTATATGCTGAAATCAATGAAGCAAGCAGCATAATTGAATATGGTTTATAATACCAAACAGGTTCTCAAAAGATGATAGACATAGATAAGAAACTCGTAAGAAGTCTTCAACATCCTTAGTCATCAGGGAAATTGAAATTAGAACTATTATTAGATTTTATCTAATAATAGACATATTGGCTAATATCAATAAAACAAATGACAACAAATGTTGGTAAGGATGTAAAGAAATAACAGGAATACTTATTCATTACTGCTGGGCTAGAAACTTGTACAGGTTTTTTGAAAATCAGTGTGGTGCTACCTTATGAAGCTGAGGATAAGTCTACCTCAGGTCTCAACTGTACCATGTTTGGATATTTACCCAAATGATTCTATGTCCTACTTTAGAGTTACTTGCTTATCCACGTTTACTACTCCTCTGGCTATAGCCTAGATGTACATAAACTAGTGAATGGATAATGAAAATGAGACTCATTTATATAAAAGTATATAATTCAGCAGTTATGAGATATAATTTTAAGTAATTACTTGTAATTCATCAATCATCAAGAGTGGGCTAACCTGAAAAGAATTCTGATATCATATATATATATATAGAATTTTATATATATATATGATAGACACACATGTGTGTGTGTGTGTGTGTGGGTGTGTGTGTGTGGGGGGGTGTGTGAATCTTAGCTTTTAAAAATTCCACATGGAAACTGTAAACATCATAAAGTATTTCCAAGGCTATTGGTAATTCTCTCAAATCTTTTTTGATGACAATATTTACGTAAATTGATGTAATTACGTAAATTTACGTAATTGATGTAAAATGATCTGGTCCATTATCCTCCATGATCAGAAAGGACCATGGAAGTGGTGTAGAAAAGATTGTATTAGTGAGAGGACATAGAGAATGTGGTCTACTCAATCAACAAATCATGACTCAGATGCACTCAAAGAGACTGAATTAGTGAGCACAGGACCTAAAGGAGTCTGCACAAGTTTGCTAAGTATATGTTATGCCTCTTTTCTTGTTTTTAAAAAAACTACCAACAATGAGAACAAGATTCCCATGGAATCACCAACCAACCCAGGATATTGTTAGGAAGTTGGTTGCTCTCCACAAACGGATGAAATATCCCTTTGCTGAAGGCAACATCTACACAATTTACTGAATATCGGAAAGTTGACCTGACATTATTATAGAACAACCTCTGTGTTTTCTAGTTATTATTAGGGTTTTAAGTTCCATTTTTGTCTTAGTTCCAGTCTTCTTTAATGTTTCCATCATCAAATTGAAGCCTATTCTAAAATCTTGGATTATATTCTTTAACTTTGATCAGTCTTCTGTTTTTGCTTTTATTACTCATGTGATTGTTATCCTTAAGGTTTATCATCTTAACTTCATTTAACCATTTCTTTGTATCTTTCTTAAACTTCTTGAGTTCTTTAATGAAGTTTATAATTTTATTTGTAAGTTTCATGTCCTGGGGTTCATATTAAAAATTCCCATTGTTAAGTATTTCTACAAATCTGCAAAGTTTTATTGAAAACATACTGGCTTGAAAATTCACATTCTTGGTATATTTGGAGTGATAAATGTCAATGTGAATTTATTTAGCCACAAGTCTGATATGGTCAGAACATATTTGGGCACAATGCAGGATTTATAAGCAGGTTGAGACTAAAAGTTGGAAATATCTTGGAATGAATGAATTCATTTGGACAGAGGGTACTGAGATGGTGCTCACTACTTTCCCTACTGTCCAAGCCTAGAACATGTGAGTAGATATGGTTTTATAGATGTGGGACATGGTGTAGGAGGTTCCTATGGGTTAGGAGATATCTAGAGAGTGTCCTAGTGAGAAACTAGAGATCTTTTTTTGGTGAAACCAAGGAGGCAAGTCTAAAATAGATACTATGTTGTTGGAGCTTGGGCTTGTTTCAAGGTTCTGTTTTGCTTTGTTTTGTTTTTTTTTTTTTGAGAATATGTGAATAGTTAGTTCAATTGGCTAGTCTCTGTATAAGCAAATGAGAAATGAGAAGATTAACATGAAGAGTGGTTGGATGAAGTACAGAATACCTATGAGAGATTCCATATAGGATCGATCCTGGTCCATCTAAAAGCCTAGAGTTTAGCTGCAGTGCTGGTATTATTGATCAGAACCAAGGCTAGATCTGGAGAGTTACAGAAATGATCTCAACAGGGATGTAAGAGAGAATGTCATGAATAGGCCATAGAGGATAATGTGGGATGCCTCAAAGTTTCAAATGAAGAAAAAAAAAACCCATATACCTAAATGATACACTTTGTGTTAAAAAAAAACAACAACAACAAGTTTTGTTCCTAATTTCAGTGGGATTGCTGGGAGTTTCTGAAAGACACTTAAGGAAATGTTCAACAACCTTAGTCATTAAAGAATTCTAAATCAAAACAACTCTGAGATTCTATCTTATACCTGTAAAAATGGCCAACATCATAAACACTGATGACAACTTATGCTGGAGAGATTGGGGATAAAGGGAACACTCCTGAATTGCTGGTAGGAATGCAACCTGGTACAGCCCCTTTGGGTGTCAGTGTGGTGATTTCTCAGAAAATTAGGAAACAACCTTTCCTCAAGACTCAGTAATACCACTTTTGGTTATATATCCAAAGGATGTTCAATTGTGCCACAAGGACCTGTGCTTTACTATGTTCATGGCAGCATTGTTTGTCATAACCAGAAACTGGAAACAGCCTAAATACCTTTTGACTGAAGAATGGGTAAGGAAATTGTGGTACATTTACACATTGGAGTACTACACAACAGAAAAAATAACAACATCTTGAATTTTACCGGCAAATTGATGGAACAAGAAGACATCATTTTGAGTGAGGTACCTCAGATA